CACTGGCCCAGGGCGTCTCGGACGCCCTGGTGTGCTTCCCCCCATAATCAATGGAATTTACATGAGTGTTAATTTATCAACTTCCCATTGATTGATGCTGGGACTAGCAATTGTATTTAGATGGTCTTTCATAACCAACAAACACGTAGTTCTAGTAAGTCATATCTCAAAAAATACTGTGATACTTTTGACCTGAGAATTAATATATATCCATCCAACATTATACCATGACTTTATACATAATATATTATACATTATTTGTGGTTACTCTTAGATGGTTCTACCCAGTAAAACCTTGTGATGCCTCTTATAAAAATTAATTCTATCTAAAAAATGCATGTTTGATTACAAGGCCTTGCATATTTGGCATATTGATTTTCAGTGTACCTTTTAATCCATATGTTATATGCTTTGGGGAAATGGAGGAGCAAGCTTGGGAGGATGTTTTAATTTGTTAGAGCAATTTTTAATCAATGTACTCTTTAAAAGCATTTTTAAAATGTTTTTGAGTGAGTGTAATAAAGAATGAAACAGAAAATACTGAAAGGGTTTCTTGTCTAGAAATCACTAGAGTGCTAACTTGCATTTTAATTTTAATTTAATTTAATTTTTAAATGTCTTTTGAATATACTTATACTGAGGCTTTGGTAATAGGCACATTCATTTACACTTAATTAACTTATTGGTTAAGAGGCAACTGGTCAGCTGAAAATCCTTTGATAACTGACAATTCTACTTTTCATTCATGTGGAAAATGTATTCTGAAAATGCTTAGATACATTCTGTTATTGCCACAGACTGATTCTTATACAAGCTGAAAACAGAATGCCATTAACATAAATTTTTGCTTAAATTCATTCACACTTTTTGTAATACATGTAAAATATTTGGCTACATAAAGACAACATTCTTTCCAGGTTTAATTGAAATGGAAGCAGCGTATTTATTGATTTTCTAAAATAAATCTATATCCAGATTTGTAAATATTTGTACAGTAGGGAGGCACATTATTTACTTAGAGACCTGAAATCATTACCTATGATTAAAACACATGCTTTACGCTTGGTGCGCATGAAGCCGGTCTCAAGTCCCTAGGAAAGCTACTTGCTGCTGTATTCTGCACAGCGACAGGATGGTGCAGTCGTTTGAGTGTTGGATTATAACTCTGGAGACTAGGGTTCAAATCCCCACTCAGGCATGGAAACCCACTGAGTAACCTTGAGCAAGTCACTCTCTGTCAGCCTCAGAAGAAGGCAAAGGCAACCACTCCTCTGAACAAATATTGCCAAGAAAATGCTATGATAAGATCGTTTTATGGTTGCCATAAATCGGAAGTGACTTGAAGTTACACAGCTGTATTTTGCCAGGAAATAAACATTTACTATGAGTACATGCTACATTTTTAAAAGCTCAGCATTTCAATAAATAAAACTTAATAAAATACAAATATAAAAATTCAAGAGAAGGGGAGAGAATGTAATGCCTAAATAATGCTTCAAGTTTGAAAATTATATTAATTTTTTAGAATGCATCTGTTCCTAAATTCAAGAATGCATGACTGCAATGATAAGAAATTTCATTAAGTGTTATTTATAAATAATATGCCTATAAAGCCCCATAAAATCAGATACAGACACCTAAGCTAATCACTTTCCTTGAAGTAAATGATCAGCATCTGCCATTTTTGTATCTAAACCACAGGATATTGTCTGTTTTCTTTTGGGGTTTGTGTTCAGCTATGAAAGCATTATGCTGAGAAATGTGATTTCAAAATCAATAGATGTTTTCCTGTTGCACTGTGTAGTTTGGGAAATGCAAACTGTGGTTAAGCAGTTTTCAAATTTTCTTCTAAAAACCATGTTACTTTGAGATGTCCATGATATTAAACCTCAAGAAGTAGCTATAGTGTTTACCAGAGCCACTTAATGCATCTTGTTGTTTTCACTGTGTCATGGTCAATTTTGGCACATTTTCATATTTTGTGTGACAGTATTGCAATACTGTATAAATAAAGCATTGTTGAAATTAAGTACTCACAGATATCATAAATCAAACCAACCACATCTGTAAATAGCCCAAACTGAAATGAACAATCCTTTTGTATGAGATAAAATTCAGGGCCTTTTCAGACTGCCAGAAATAGTGCAAATTGAGTTCACTTTAAGGGTTAGGGTTAGTGCTAGGGAGTCATGGGAATTGGGTTTTTTTTTTCCTGAGAGATTGAGCCTTCTCTGTCAGAGAGCTCTGGTGCCACAATAAAATACAGTTCCCATGATTCCCTAACCCTAACCCTTAAAGTGGACTCAATTTGCACTATTTCTGGCAGTCTGCAAAGGCCCTCAGTCCCAAGTTGGGGACAGCTTTACATCCTTTGGAAGCTGAAGAGCCATGGAGCACCACAAGGCCATGTGTCATGCTGCATCTAGCATTGGGGCTTAGCTAGGAGGAATATAAGAACCCATCTTGACTTAGTGATGGCCTCTTTTGGTTTCAAGTGACCTCTCCCTCCCACTCTGTGAGTCAGTGCAGGCTGAGACTGCTTGCTCTTGGGAGCCAAGTAGGAATTTTTTGCCTTGGTCACTCGATTGGCAAAGTTGGAAAAAGATGCTAGGGATTTATTTGTTTGTTTTGCCTATCCTGCACTGATAATTCATAGGACAAATGGGAAAAATTGGGTCTTGCCATAAAAAAAAAAAAATCACATACTGGTGAGTGGCATCAGAAATAGGGAAATGATAGGGAGGTGAGCATTGAAATGGCACTTTGGGAAGGAAGGGTTGGTTTTTCTTTTGATTCTGTGAGACTTATGGGGATCAAGTGCTAGGAATTGAATTGCCCTTGGGATCTGCCTTGTCTCTCTTTGAAGCCTTAGGTGGAGCAGGTTTTCCAGGTATCAAGGCCAACTGCTATGGGCAGTAGGGCCCAGGTCTCT